CCATTGTTTACATAAACAATGCACACAATGCACATTTTCAATTCCCCATATGGTGGTGCTTATGGCGGCGAAAATGATGGCGTGGTAGGGCGGGTCGACCACCGCCAGACCACCGTTGACCGTCTTCCTGCAGCACAGGCCCGAGCTTATGGTGCTCCTAATCCTGCAAGACTTCAAATGACGCCCGAGAATCTTCCTGGAAGGGCGCCTTACGCTTCACCAGGTGTGACCGCGTTTGGGGTCAAACATCCGGAGCTCCCACCCAAGACTCTTGACGCTCTTAGGAGAGCATGCATCGAAAATGAGGAGAACATGGACAGTATTTCAGAAGTGATCCGCTCGGAGCTAGACATAGCAGGTCGCGAGGGGGCACTCAAGCTTCTGGCTGAGCTTAAAATCCCGCCCATCGACTGCAAGCGCGTGCTTGACAGCCTGTTGTCGACAACACCATCCAATCACTCCAACAAGACCAATAAGTCGAAGTCGCGAATTAGGTAAGCAGCCCGGCACAATGCCTTTCGATTGACGATTAATATTGCATTGAATTCACACCTAGGTAGGCCTACTGGGTGACTAGAACCATCATTACATTACATCACTTACACATCCGTTCCTAATGATGCATGCAGTGATGCAACGGAGTCTTCGGCCGTGAAGGTGCCGGCCTGCGTTCCTGAGGCCTTCGCCGACGTATTCAAGGCAATGAACTCACAGAGTGATGCCAGCAAGTTCAATGTCCTCGCGGCAACCGAGTGAGTTCACATGGAGTGTTGTTGCAGTAGGGAAATCTAAGTGGCATGTCACATTCCGGACGTGTGCCCTAGGGCAGGCCTGCCGCTCTTCCCTTCCCTGCTTTTCTCCCCATGACGGCCGTACTTCTGCCCTCGCATTCAGGGTTATCAAGGCGGGCATTCTTTGGACCGACATCAGCGAGGGCCTGGCACCCCGGAACGACACCCCTGCTACGACACCGATTCATATCAAGACCATCATAACGCACTGGATGACTGTACTGTGCCATATCAAGACCATTGGCAAGGGCAACCTCCTATCCCTAAAGAGGAAC